TTAATTCAATATGTCATGTAATACACTTATTAGTTCTTAATTACTTCTTAATTGCTCATTTTCTCTTAGAAGAAAAAAAATCTCCAAAATGAATTCGCCGTAATTATCAACTGCTACCCTTTTTTTTCTATAAATAATCATAGATTTTATTAAACAAAATAAGTACACCAAAAGAATCCATGATCATTGCCTCATAGGCTAAGCAAAAACCTGTTGTGACATGTTAAGTTGAATTCATATAGATATTAATGTGAATTTTTATCTTGATATTATTTATATTTGGATGAGTTTTATAAGATTTTACGAGATTTTACATGGTTTTCATTCTTTGTGCAGAAAAGGACTTGAATGCATAAAAATAGGAGTTTTTGGAATTAATTGAAATCTTTTGAAAGTTGAGGGACTGAATTGCAAGAAGAAGGGTGGCTCTTTGGGACTTAAATAAATGAACCTTGAGTTTTAGGATCTATGTGCTCATCGTACGAAAGCTAGTGGACTAGATCTGCTATTTTACCATTGAAGAAATTGCAAAGAGAGACCAGAAACTCGACACGAGTGTAGTATCGACGCATAATTGGGGTGTCGACACCATGCATTAAGCGCCCAAAATTAGACTTTCTGTTTTCTGTTTTGTGTCAACACGTAATTCGGGGTGTCAGTACCATGCGTTCAGCGTCCAAAATTCAAGTTTCCTATTCTGTTCTAAATCTTACTTCTATTTCAATTAGGGTTTCTAAAATCCTATAAATACCCATCCAAATTCAAAATTGAGAAGAGCTTTGGGAGGCTGGTGACAGCCCTCTTTTGCATTATTAGAGATCAAGATAGATGTTTCATCAACAATAGAAGATCAAGGAGTTTAATGTTCTCAAATTGGGTTTTGTTTTTCCTTTGATTCTTCTATCTATTGTTTGACATTCGAATGTTCAACATTCGAACGTTCATAACTATAATTTTAGGTTTTATTATTTTTATTATGAACTAATTTATTATACTAAGGTTACGATGTAGCCTAATCAATTTCATATAAATTTTGTGATTTTATCTTTTAATTAAAGTTATTCGCATGATGAGTTTATATTATTAAACTTAATGCATTGGAAGCCTGATCACCTTTCAATTTATTTAGTGATTTATGCATGAACTTGAGAAAAAATTATGTAAATTAGACCAATAATAATATAAACAGTGTGTTAGACTATGAGACCAAAAGGTAATTAGCTAACATGTGATAGTGGAGGAAGAGAAGAGAGTTAGGAGCTCTCCCTTTTTAAGCTAGAGGTTTCCATAGAATTTAATGCTCATTAGTTTGTTTAAAATTACATAAAGATATGATTAATTTAACAAACAAGTGAGGGATTAACTTGACTTGAGAACACTAGGTAATTAATTTAGGGAAATCTGCCATCACATGCAATAACACTCAATAATTTAATAATTCAGAATTTATATTAATTGATTATGGTAAAATTGATGCCTTAGTACCTTATATTTTGGTTAGGTTTATTTCAATTATTATTTTCTTTTTATTATTTTTCTAATTAAAACTTTCTTCCTTTTCAATTGTTCAAATAAGTTTGGATCGTACTTAATTAGACACAATCTTCGTAGGTTCGACACTTTTTTCATCATTATATTACTTGAAGCGACTAGTACACTTGCTATGGTGATTTTAGTACATCATGGTACTAGTATATGAAGATGCATCTGAGAGCCTCTAAACACTAAGTAGAGCAATAAAAATGTCGTCAGGTTATAAAAGAGTTACACTTATATATTGAGTAAGTAAAGACATTACAATATTATGACACCTTAAGTCTTACATTAAAATAAATATAAGTGTGATTGGTATATAATTATCATAACTAATTATTACCAATAATTTAAATTTAAGTTTTTAAAGGTACATATAACTTCGCCCAATAGGTTTTTAGGTTAGTACTCCTCTGTAATTTAATCAATCACCCGACAAATCGTAGACTCATCCACCTGCGTCGCAAAGGTTGTGCCCGAATTGTCCACTAAATCCTTTGATGCTTGGCCTTTATTCAAGCTCCCAGAACTAGATTTTCTCTTCGCTTTCACTTCCTTCTACTTGCTCGGAGATGTGAGCAATCCTCTGCTTAATGTCTTCCGGTTACCTTTGTGCCTTTCTTGGAAATCCAATCCAATCGAGCAAGAGGCATATCCACCAATAAAGAGTCGGAAAATTATGAATAAATTTAATTCTTAGTGTTTTTATTTTTTTATTATATAAAGTTATAAATTTACAATAATATTATATGATTATAAAATTAATTTTTTTTTAAATTCATTTATAATATTATATCCATTTATTTAATAATATGTTATAATTATAAAATTATACATCTATATGGCATTTTAATAAATTTCTTTTATCCTAAACACTACCGTTTCTATAACAATGAAATCTGAATAATTTTTCTTAAAAAGAAAAAAAATTTACTAAAATTTTTTAGAGAGATCAATTTCATTCCTTTTTTGGGATCATTTATAGTATCAAATAATTGCATTCTAGAAAATATTGGATGGAAGAGATATAAGAAAAACCGTATAAGAAAAAGATGTTTGAAAAACCGCACAGATTATCGTCTCCCTTATTCTACACGAAAAAACAAAGTTCCCTTTTTTTACCCAAAATGAAGACGTGGATGCAATATTTTTTAAAAAAATTATAAATTAGTACCATCGTATAAGAGAACGATGTTTGAAAAACCGCACAGATTATCGATCGTCTCCCTTATTCTACACGAGAAAACAAATTTCCCTTAATTTACCCAAAAATGAAGACGTGGATGCAGAAATTCAGTCACTTTCCTGGAAGAAAACTCAAGCTCTAATACCCAGAGCTATTTAAGCTCCTTTACATAAACAGCTAGCCATTTCCTGATACTTCAATACTTCTTCCTTCTCTTTCAACCCAAAGCACATAGCAGCCCCTTGTCTCCATGACCTCATCTAACAAACCAAGCCACCACTGTAACGACGAGCACCAGCACCATCAGAGCCACCACCACTGTCCGTATTCATGTCCAGTCTTTATTATAAATCCTAATGCTTATACCATTATGAATATTCCTCATTGTTCAACCCCGAATTTGGTGCATGCTTTTGAGGCCAATACAGAACCACTGCCAATTCCCCCCAGTATACACTTTGGGCTCCTTAATTTGCAGAGAAGATTAACGTGAATGCAGATACTATAAGGCTAGTTCCTGATAACAAGAATCCAGGGTCCCAAAAGCTTTCTTTCACTTTCGATGCTCTTGAACCTGGCAGGTATATATTCATCGAGCTTGCTCTTTTTATTTTTGTTTTATGCAGCAAGTTCCCTCCTGCGTAGTATTTAGGCCTGAAGATGGCTCAATATTTTCCGGTTGAAACAAAATAACACTTAATAAAAAAAGT